GAAATATAATTTAGAAAAAATTACTGAAATTCTAAATAAAAATGAGGAATATTAAAAAAAAGAGACCATATAAAACATAGCTCGGGACTAATTAAAATTCAAAATAGCAAATAAAATAAATTATATAAAATTATTAAGAAGCCAAGCCAAGAAGGACAAAGGAGTAGAGAAATGATGGCTAGCGAAACTTAAAAACTATACAAAAGAGAAAACCAACAATGATCAGGTTTAATTTTTAAAATCCCAATGATAATAAAAAGGAGTAACAATGTTCTGACCGTAAAGGAGTAAGGTGGCGGCTATTGAACAGGCATTTAAAAAATATAAAATAGAACCCCAATGACAATTAGCTTTGATTTTTAAAATCTCAATAGCAATAAACAGGAGGGATGGCAGGTCAGGTAGTAAAGGAGTGGGGTGGCGACAGTTGATGGGGCATCTAGAAACTTAAAAAAGGAACCCCAACAATGATCAATTTCAATGTTTCAAATCCTAACGACAATAAAAAAAGAGTGGCAACGGATGGGTCGTAAAGGAGCAGTGTGGCGACGTTTTACGGAATTTCTAATAGCTATAAAAGAAAACCTGGCAAGCTATAAAAAATAAGGAATATTAAAAGAATAGTCCATATAGAACATAACTTGAGATTAACTAAAATTCAAAATAAAAAATAAAATAAATTTCAAAATTAGAAAAAGAAAAATAAGAGTTCAACTAGGAATACAATTTATAAATAACTAAAATTTGGATTAAAAATAAAGACTATTGGAAGGGACCACCTAGAACACATCACGAGATTAAGTAAAATTCAGAATAAAAAATAAAATAAATTTCAAAAATAGAAAAAAAATATAAGAGTTCAAATATGAATACAATTTACAAATAAAAAATATTGGAATGAAAAATATGGATTTTTCAAAGAAAAAGTTTATCTAGAACACAACGATAACAAATGACAATAAATAGAAGAGAGGCAACAGTACCGTAAATAATTGCCTAAAGAATTAGGGTGGTGGCATTTGATAGGACATATAAAAACTATAAACAAAGCCCAAATAAAATTGTAATAGCGATTAAAAGGTGGGACGACGGGCATGCCATTAAGCATGATGGTCACAGCGGTTGATGGGACTTCTAAAAAGTAAAATGTAAACCCCAATATTAATCATGTTCAATTTTGAAAATCCCAATGAAAATAAAAAGGGGAGGCAGTTGGCGGGCCGTAGAGGAGTATAGTGGCGAAGCCGCTGATGATTTCACGAAACTTATAAAAAGTAAAAAGTGAACCGCAACGATAATTATGTTTGATTTTTAAAATCCCAAAGACAATAAAGAGAGTAGGCAGCAGACAAGCCGTAGAGGAGTACAGTGGTAGCGTTTGACGGGACTTCTAACAATTATAAAAACAAAACCCAACATGACAATGAATTCTAAAAACTACAAGTTTGATTTTTTAAAGGCTCAAGGAGGATGAATAAAAACCATGGCAGATCGAGCAACAAAGGAATAAGGGGTAGTGATCAGTGTGATATTTTAAAACTATAGAAAAAAAACATAGATATTAAAGCTCAGTCTTTCAAAGTCCTAAGCCAACGAGATAGCTATTTAACAAATTTTAAGTAAAATCATACATAGATAAAAGATATTTTGTATGGGTGCTAGCCGCGCAATTGCACGGGCCACCTAGCCAGTTACTACATAACTCAAATACCACTGATCTAAAAAAAAACAACCCAAATACCACTGATCCTAAAAAAACTAGGTACTAAAACTTGTGGGCACATGTATCACAGTTTTTGAAACACAAATAATATTTATTATTATCGCGACGGTGGAGAAGCAAATCCAGCTGATGACGGTGGAGAAGCAAATCAAGCTGACGGTGGTGTGACGAACCAAGCCACCCACCGTTCAAAAAAAAAAACATACCTCCGCCGACGGGGTAGGAACTATTTTTTTTGAAACACACGGGGTAGGAACTAGGAACACCAGGAACTGTGGCACAATCTGTCTTCCTCCGGCGGGACATGGCTTTTGGTGGTGGGGAACTAGGGTTTTCAGTACAATTTTGTAGCGTGCGGGACTGCGGGCAGGAGAGATTAAGCAAGGTGGATGAGGGGAAGGCAGATAGTGAGGGTGGCAACCATCAATCTACCGGATTTTTGGGACCGGTAAAATAGGATTATTTTTCACGCTCGTGGAAAGCGGAGTGGAGGGAGATGGCGCACGGGAAAGAGGGCAGAAATCGCGCGCGGGAGGGGCAGGCGGAGATCCAGCGGGCGCGGTTGGGGTGGAGAGGGAAGAGATTGATCTTGCTCGGTGGGGAAGGGGATCCGTTGTGGTGTGCGGGGCCACCCACAAATGACGTTTTTAATCGCCGAGTTGGGCTGCAGTCGAGCGATAGCGCATTGCGAGGAGAGCAATCGCCCGGCGATAAATTTGTCGTCCGCTTTCTTCTCGCTCGTCAATTCTCTCCACTCCATATACAATAGGCTGATGTGGTATAATTTTAGAGCCTGTTTAATCAATGTAGAGTAAGAGCTCACTACTTACTATTAGTTAATGTTAAAACTAACATGTATAATAAGTTAGCTACTCCAGGTTATGTTTATTTTTTTCATTCTCTCTCTTTCTCTCACCATGAATTTAATGCATATTTTTTATGCTTGTGTATAGTTAGCTTTTGTATGAGAGTTAACACTTTTCACTTTTATTTATCTCTCTTTCACATAAGTATATATAAGTATATAGCTTATTTATTATAGTTCACTACTCCGTATTATGCATTTATGCTTGCTGTTACTGTACCTGCTCTTATATTGTAACGCGCGCCAAGGTCTCCGGCCCGTTGAAGCGAGCGGCCGGTATACGGCAGTATGGGGGACATCACCGGCGGTGAGTATCGAGTCCAAGATAGCAGGCAACTCCGGCGGGCAAGGTAAGTTAGCTGCTCCAGAAAAATGGCTGAATTGCTTCGTTCGCGTGGTGGCGCTGGTGGAGAGGACGGGCAACGCCATCGGCACGCTGGCCTTCACATGGGCTACCGTCGTTCTCCTCGGCGGCTACCCCTCGGTGCTCCGACCCGATGAAGATTTCCTTTATGCAACCACCATAATCTTCGTAGAAGCTGCAAGGTACGCAACACTAAGTTCGTCTGATCTCTCTATACAACACAACACAAATACAGAACATGCGTAGAATCAAACTTTACTCGTGCTTCTTTTTTCTGGACTTAAATTTAAAAATATACCGTTCATATTTTTTTTCTTAGAAATAGTCTTGATATAAATTTTTTGGCACAAATATACCACCGGTATCGCTAAACCGCTGCGCGAAACTGACGTGGACTGACGACATGGGCAGTCTCGCACGAAGAAGACGCGAGACCGCGCAGTGTCGCGCGGCAGAGGCGCGAGACCGAGCGGTCTCGCATGGTGAGTGTGCGAGAACGTTTTGAAAATTGAATGATTAATGATTAATTAATAATAATTAGTGATTAATTATCCTGATTTAATTAATCACTAATTAAGATAATTAATCACTAATTAATCAGTGACTAGTTAGGTGCCCGTGTGTTGCAACGGAAAAAATATAACTCTTTAAAAAAATTTACGATTCATCATTGACAAACACTCAAGTCTATAATTTGACCTTGTCAAAAGTGAGTTCTAAGAGGGGAGAGAAGATTTCCCACCAGATGGCATACACTAATTTGTTCTCCCAGGAAAGAAATTTAACATATGGATTTGATATGGAGCTATTTCTAAACTCAGATATATATATATATATGAAGATGAATAGAAGGACCATGCATTGCAGATTTTCAGGGGATAGAAATGGAGATAGAAGAGTATGGTATTTTCACCAGAGTTCGGTGATATCTTTGGGGCTCTGGCTTTATCATCTTATTGTGTATATTTTCATATAGTTAGGAGTCAAAGTTCAAGATTTCAGTTTATACTTCACTTCTTTCCGCCTTTTATTTTTCCATCTGATGATGGTTTCGGCACAAAAAGCCAGAACCCACACATGGAGTATGAAATTAATTTTCTTGAACAAGCACACACTTCCCCTTGTGTTTTCCAATTGCCTCGAGTGCAAGTTTGTGAATTTTGACTTTCTTAAAATCATTATGCATATCTAAAATTTGTCATGGTAAAAAAATAATTGAATGGTAGTGGCCCAACATACTATTATTCTTAGGTCATCCATTGTTGATGGTTCATTCAAATGGTTTTATATTAGCATAGAAACGATGCCTGACTTCAAAAACCCTCCTGAACTACCATGTTATTAAACACCATCTCCATAATCCATGCTAAACTGAATTACAACAACATTCTGAAATTAATTTACCAAGAGATAAAGGTAAAAAGCGTAGTGGATATTCTGAAATATCTGAACTTGAGATTCTAAACAGACTATATTGAAGACTTCACGTAACCTCTCAACTGCAAGTCGTAGAAAGATTCATAGAATTACAAAAATAAATCTGTTACTGGCCTTTCAAAATGATTAAGGATGTGTTTGGATGGTGGTCAATGGTGGATGGGATTGGGCCATCCAGTTTTTTAGGGATATGGCCATCCAGTTTTTTGTTTGGTTGGGTAGATAGGATGAGCCAAGTTTTTGTTTGGTTGGATGGACAAAAAGTGGATATGGTGAGCCAATTTTTTGTTTGGTAGGATGGATGAGTGTTATCATCACCTTTCGGATGGAAATGGTTAGAATACCTCCTACCTGGTATACTTGGGAAAATTGGATAGTTGCATGTACAAATAATCAAATGCATAACGTATTTGTTGTCTACCTTGAGAACAGAAAATTAAAATTAAACAAGATGCTCATGAGCATTCATGTTACTTGTCTACATATTTGTACATGGATCATGAGCCCAAGACAATTTTTTTCAGAAATTTTTAACATGCATCTGTGTTACCAGTTACCACACATAACAGGAGAGGAGCACACACATACAACACGCCATATGCTCCCAGAAATGAAATATGAAAAAATATATCAATTAACCATCATCCAATGGAACCACCACATCTGAATTTTACCATCAACCATACAGCCATAAAAGTGACTGGTTTAGGGACAAAAGTAGGCTAACACAAGCCTATTACCATCTACCAAATACCATCACACTTAATACTCATAGTTTAATGTCTGAGTATGCAAAAGAAGGTTGAATGCATGCCTACTACCATCTAACAGCTACCATCACACTCAATACTCATAGTTCATTGTCTGAGTATGCAAAAGAAGGTTGAACACAGGGCAACTACCAACAGCATCACACAACCATCACAGCACAGTTCACCCATTAAAAGTGGTGGCAATATATCTTGCAACCCAAGTGACCTTGTGAGCAAATTCAAGGGTAACAAACACCCTTGCAGTTGGAGGATTGTCAACTAGATGTGCATGATAATGAGCAAGATATGTATCTTCAAACCCTGGAATGCTATGCACACTCTCATACAGGTTATCGGGCAGCTCTTTGTTAGATTTTGCAGCCTCTTTTCCAGCTTCAACTATTGCTCCAGCAAGCTTGTCACCAACAGATTTAAATGCACCTATCAGCCCTTCCTCTTCAATTGCAGCAGCAGTCTTTGTTTTCTTGGGTTTGGGTGCTGAAGATGATGCACCATTCTCCTCATTAAGGGCATGAACTCTACTAGCTGATCCAGTTGCTGCAGCACTTCCAATACCAATTTCTTCTTCTTCATCATCATCAATGGCAATAGATTCATTGGCTAGAGGATCACCTGACCCTTTTGCATATTTCCCTGTAGCCAAACTATTGCCAAATATCACAAGCATCTTGCCATAATTGTGAATAGATTTGTTCAGATATTCAGCATCAGCCTTGTGATCCTACAACATGGTTTAATAATAAAATTAGTTTCAGCAACTAATACAAATTTCAGCAACCAATACAAGTTTCAGCAACCATTATAAATTTCAGCAACCACTATAAGGTTCAGCAACCACTACAAATTTCAGCAACCACTATAGGTAACAATAAAATGGTGTAAGTGTGGTTGTGGCATACCTTGATGTGGTCTGCGTAATGTTTATGATCAAGTAATATGATAAAATTCTCATCATCCCAAAGAGCAGCACTCAACTTCCTTAGATCAGCTATCTTAGAATATTTTCTTTTCCAAGTCCTAATGTGATTATTAATCTGATCTGAAGTCAAATTAATATTGAAGTGATCATTCAAAGCTTTAGCACAAGCCTTCAAGTGGACTTGCTTAAACCCCGAGGAAGTTTTGTTCCCACTAGCAACAATACCCTCGAGGTATTCAAGCATGTAGGTAGACATTGAAGATGTCCATGTAACATGTCCACCCTTATCACTTTGTCCACTTCCCTCCATTGCCTAGCATGTATAAAGAAATTGATTTCAGCAAACATATAAATTTCAGCAAGCATAAAAATTTCAGCAACCACTATAAATTTCAGCAAGCATATAAATTTCAGCAACCACTACAAATTTCAGCAACCAATACAAATTTCAGAAAACATATAAATTTCAGCTTGCATATAAATTTCAGCAACCACTAAAAATATCAGCAAGCATTCAAATTCCAGCAAACAATAAATTTCAGCAAGCAAATACATGTCAGCAAATACATAAGTCTTAAAAAGGAGGACATAAGTCCTAGAGTTCCATATAAATACATAGACTACAAATCTAAAATTTTCAATTTCCATGGTGAGCTTGACGATCTTCCCACATTTGGTCTGCGGTATCCTGCCTGAACTGAACCATGTATGCATGCTCACTAGCTTGCCCACTTCTTGATGTTGCATAATTGTAGTTGGCTATCCATTCTTCCTCTGATATGATAAAATCATCACCACCATCTTCTATAATCCAATTCTGAATAATACAACAAGCTACCACAATATCCACTTGAGTTGGATAGGGAAAAAATGGAGTGGCATCATCTAAAATTTTCCACCTCCTCTTGAGAGACCCAAATGCACGCTCAGCGGTCACCCGAAGAGATGAGTGCCTCAAATTAAATAGCTCCTTCTCATTCTGTACAGGATTAGTCCCCCACTCATTCTAGTGATACCTCACACCACGAAAAGGGGGTAAAAATCCAGGTTTTGCTCCATATCCCGCATCAACTAGGTAGAATTTTCCTAACATATAAGGGCAAGTTGGTGAAATGTGTTGTCAATAATTTTTCTATGCACAAGTTAGACTTACATTACCTTGTGGGACACGAAGGCCATTTGTACGCTCTATAGCATCACGTAAAACTACAGCATCATGTGCTGTCCCCTCCCAACCAGCCAACACATACGTGAACTTAAGGTCAAAATCTATAGCTTCCATTACATTTTGAGTAGCATGATCCTTCCTACCACGAAAGGAAGGCTCCATATCTTTGGTAACAGAGACTCGTACATGTGTGCCATCAATAGCTCCAATACAATCCTATTTGGTGAACACAAAAAGGTAAAAAATTTAAATGGGCATAATTTTACGTCTACAAATAATGGTGTACAACTAATTGTGGATCATACCTTAAAATAAGGATCCCACCTTGGGTTCCCTAATATTTTTGATGGAGTCGTTATTGAGGGTGGCCTTATTAATTCCTTTCTCAGCTCACCAACAGCATGAAGGACTAGGTTGAAATATCGGCTAACAGTTTCACCGGACCTATAAAAATTAGTGGCAACTACCCTATTTCTAACATTGTGCCCAATTGTATGTAAAAACATAGCCACTTGCTCTTCAACAGGCATATGTGTAGCATCCACAAGCAAGCAACGATCCCTAAAAAGTTTACAAAAACAAAAAAAAGGTGCTCTTTTAAGCCTTAGCATGTTCACACAGATGGTATCGTTTTTCCAAATCTTGTCATTGAGATAATCAAATCTTTTCCTATCTCTTTCATCTATTGGCCCATAGGTAATCCCTTCTCTCCTTGGAACCCTTTTCCTTTTCTTATTTCTAGACTCGATAACCATAGCCATCATTGACAACAACATATATGATGCAGCCGTATAAATCAGAAACCGTGTTCTGCTGTCCATCTACAATGCCAAAGTTTGACCAAATCAGGTCTACCACATTCATGCACACATGTATTGAGTCATAAAACATATAGCACTCAGATCTGAAAAAAATATCTCAAAATAGCAACTATAGCACTCTATAATCATTCATGCCCATGCTTAGAAACTACTATAGCACTCAGATCTGAACAAATCAATCACCAAAAAAACAGAACTATGATCAGATTTGTAGTATACCTTGAAACGAGGAGGAATGCAAAGAGAGGGATGTTGTTTCTACTCGCCGCCGCAGCTGCCGCGTGGAGTCACCGTCGTGCCGCCTGCAGTCGCCGCCGCCCAGCCTGGAGTCGCCGCCGCCCCGCCTGGAGTCGCCGCCGCGCCGCCTATAGACTTCGCCCGCGCCGCCTGTAGACTTCGCCCGCGCCACCGGTTCCCTCCGCCCGCGCCGCCGACACCCACCGCCCGCACCGCCAAAGGGCGAGCGCCCACGCCGCCGACACACCCACCGCCTGTGCCGCCAACACCTGCCGCTCGTCCCCGGCACGGCCACCCGCTCCGTCGAACCACGCCGCCTGATGCGCCGCCGAATCACGCCGCCTGATGCGCCGCCGAATGAGGGAGGAGAGCTAGGGTTTGCCACTGTGAACCGGTGAGAAGAGAGGAGAAAAAAGGGAGATAAGGATGGGAGGAGGTGAGGGCACGCGACCTCTTCACATGCGCGAGTCGCGCGCGGTCCTGGGCCGCCCCGTCCGGCCGAATCGGCCGGATGCACAGAGCCGGCATCTGGAGGGAATATTCCCTAGGTGGTGGCCATATCCCAGTACCGCCCATCATCCAAACACCTCCAAAATTTGGGCGGCCATATCCTATCCCAGCCTATCCCTCCATCCAAACACATCCTAAGTGTTGTCTCTGCTAGTTTACTGGCTGAAGAGAGTACCAACTAACACAAGAACAGATCTAAGCATGGCACAAAACTTCTTCACTTTCAATCAGAAGTTCAGAGAAAGGCAGTCTCACCGTATCATGTCAGAGAAAACTTCAGCAGATTCCCAAGTGCATGTCCCTGAACTTCCGCTTGATTCTTCCTGGACCTACGCTTTCCTGGGATTGAAAAATGGCATGGACATCTCATGATCAATAATATACACAATTTAAATCAGAATCATGTACATCTCATAGTCAACAATATTCATCACAATCTAAATCAGAATAGTTTGCGCTCTCATCGATCAAAGGTTGCCACTTTAATTGCCTTATAATAATTTAACAATGTTGTTTTCTTCTACATAGCAAATCAATAAATCAAAACGATGGAACATGAGGCTCAATTCTTGTAAATCCCTATCATCTCATACTGATATTCTTGTTTAACTTCATTAGAATGATAGATTACATATTTACAGTGATTAAGCATAGCATTATAGAATAAAAGCAATAGGACAAGAGTGCAAGACCATGACTAATTCAGACATTCAGTGACTATAAACTATCGATTCACCGGTTGCTTAGTTGTTCTTCTAGCTGCTGTTGCTCGCCGCCTAATCTGCTAGCTGCTCGGCTGTCAGCGTCGGCAGTCTCGTTGCCCAGTCGCCTGGTACCTTGCGCCCTTGCCTGCTCTGCCTCCATATGCTGCTCGCCGGCTCGCCACCGCGGCGCCCGGCTGCTGTTCCATGACTGCGCCCGCCTCCGCTTATTCGCTATCGCCGGCTCGCCGAAGCACCTCGTTGCTGGCTTGCTGCTTCACCCAACCGCCCAGCCACCCAGCCGCGAGTCCCCAACCCTAATCTATAGAGAGAGATGCGTGCGTGAGGTCGCGGCCGCACCAGGATCGCACGACGATGACGCCCTGGATGGATGAGTGGGGGCAACGTCTTTCGGCGAGGCACCGCAGTGGCGATGGGGAGGAGAGCACGGAGGAGGCGCGTTGGATGCCGGGAGTGGCGGAGGGAGCGGCGGAGAGAGGGATCGAGCCATCGAGGGCGAGAGATCGCGGTGGTTGTGAGGAACGAGGAGAGGTCGACGACTCGGGGGGTGGGGAGGGGATGCATGTGTCTGCGCCTACAGCACCCATTCTGAAGCGTTGGATATCTGGATCCAATGGGTACGATTGCGCGTGTCTGTCACCACTACAAAATTTTAAAGTAGTAGAGATTAGCGGCAAGGATCGGTATCGCTACTTGAGTTTGCGAGACCACTCGCTCTCACGAACTGCGGTCTCGTGTTTTTATTGTGCAAGATCGTAATATCAACGGTATATCTGTGCAAATAAAATTACAACCCGAATATTTATGAGAGAAAAAAATAAACGGTATATTTTTAATTTTTTTCCTTTTTTTCTGTATGCTTGTAGTTGTAGCTAGCAACCCTCTTGGTAGTACAGATGGTTTACAAAACCAAACGGGTTTTTTTAGAAAACCGGGAGCTCCATTAGTTGGTCTAATAAGCCAATGCAAAAGTTAAAATTTAAAGTTTTAAACTTGATTTTGAAGTTGATTTTAAGATATTTTTAACTAATTTTCTTAGCTTTGGATTTTGAATTGCTTCGAAAAGTATATAAAAGTTTTACCAATAAATTAATTTTTATTCCCTAATAAGCTAAAAATATGGGCAACCGATGAGGCTCGGGACTTCCTGGGTCGGCTAGCTCTGAACCACAATCCGCTTGGTTTTCCAGTTAAGTTCAAAAGGAAATTCAAACTGGATAATTGTTGATAAAGTTTCCTTTATCCTTGTTTGATGAAAACAAAACAACGAACACACAGAAAATAGGGAAACCCTGTATTTTATTAATCATGATTCATTAACATGAATGTTTACAAATATATGAGGGCTCCCGCAGGAGTTCGCCTTTTGCCTTCGTGAGGAATGCTTAATAGAAAGGTATGCTGACTGGAAATTGCGTGTAGTCCGCTGATTCCCGGTGCATAGCAATGAGGCTACCGGTTAATTACATCCATAGGATGAGCCTATGGAATACCTCCGATTAAGCTGCGCTTTGTGATCACTGTCTTCAAAATTAATTGCTCGCCGAAGGTTGAGGTTGGTGCAGATTTAACGGTGAATATAGTGAATGTGGAACGGGTGGCTTTGTTTCGCCAAAACCCGGTCACACTACACTACCCTCACATCGGTGTGCGGAGGGAATTTGGTGAAGCGGGTGACTTTTTCCTCGTCGGTGCCCAGTCATGTATCCTGGCCTTTATCAAACATAGATTTTACGGTTGCTTTTGCCTCATCGGTGCCCAGCAATGGTGTATCTAGCTCCCGTCCGTTTTAGACGTGTTAATAGTATAGTGACCTGGCCTTGTCGGCGCTCGGCCATGGTTTTGTCTAGCCTTATCCATCAGACAAATGAAATGAGTGAATGGCTATAGCTTTGTTAGCTTTGGCCAATATGTCGTCCGGCTTCATCGGTCTCGGACGTAGCACAAATATTGATAAATTGGCCATTTCATCTCATCGACACTCGGCCACGATGTCGACGTTTATTTTAAATCTGCACACCTCGCCCTCATGGCTAGCGTTGTTTTATTTAGCGAATAATGCTTGTCTTCAGGAATTGTGAGAAATTGCTCCCGTCCATCCGGTAGAATTTGGAGAGAGAAGGAATTGCTCCCATACATGACATGCACGAGGCAATATGTGACTCATCCGGCATGAATATAAATATGTATAAATCATGGTTAGTCTGATGCCAATAAGACTCAAACTCATCCCAAGTTTATATAAATAAATATCCACATCCAATATTTGATATTGATAATTTAGACGGTCCAACCCTCACGAGGGTCAGGCTCGCCTTGTATTTATTTGCAGCCTATATTAATGGCTTGACAAAGATGGCGTGTACATGTGTATGCGTCACTGGGGATACTTATATATCCATGGCTACAAGTTCACAACACATCCACGATATATTCATCACTACTCCACTTTACTGTTTTACCGTCCGGGCTGCGCAACTGCACAACGCTACGGTGTATATTTCCTCCCTCTAGGAGATAATGCCGGGCTATGCATAATATCTGCACAGCACTACGGTGTTGTTGTGTTATCTTGGATAAGCGGCTTGACGGAGAACGAGATCAGCTTGTTTCTGAAGACTCGCCGATAGAGATGCCATCAGTGCCGGCGATTACAGGTTGCTGATCCGCGATCACGCACCCTGTGCCATGCGCATGCATCTTCTTTCTGATCTCTCTGCGAATATATGTGGGTGCGGGTGTGTACCTCTAGGGCATATTGCTGCTTAATGGCGCAGCGCTTGCGCCGTGTGTTCCCTCTTCTTCCTCCGTCGCGGGGACGGAGTCGGTGCCTTTTATAGGCAGAGGCGGCGGCAACGATCTGCCTGATCTGTTCCGAATTTCCAGCATAAGCCAACAATATCACACGTTAATTCTCCTGACAAGCCGACGCACAGATGAGCTAATCCATCCACGAGATAAAAACCAAACACACGTACTGGAGTCTGGAGATAATCATGCGATTAACATGGCTGATGACGGTGGGCCCCATGTGTTTAATCGCCACTGCCAATTTCCAAATTAGAGATAATGACCGTGCATGCTCACGTAGCAAAGCAAGTAACGATAGCACTTGCTTATTTCTTTTCTTTTAATAGCTCCAATCTTTTGAATCGTACATCGGATTTAAAATCCATTTGAACCATTACTTTCTATTCAAATTATACAACAAAACGAGTCCAATATCGAATATATTCGGACATCGTGATATTTGAAATCTCTAGGCCCACATGACATAGAGACACGCCTCGTGTATATTGGGTTGCAAATAATATTTTCATACAAAATTAAACGCCCAATAAATTTTTTTATCTTCTATGAATTTTTAGCACAAAAATTCATCAAACAATCCTTAAAAATAATACCATGGTGGCAGTGAGAAAACAATCTATATAGTAAAAATATAGAAATTGTTCTACCAGGTGGATAACAAATTTTCTTTAAGGACTTCAAAATGTTGAAGTGATTGTTCCTCTATAATTCTTAAACATACCTTCAAATTTTTAACCGATATAAGAGTCTAGCGTCAGGGGATTACTACTTCTCATGTGAATGGGGCAATGAACTCCTCGCTTGTACTGCCTTCTAATTGTACATGATATAACATATCCTTAAAAATATGAATTTAGACAATATATGAATTTAGACAATAAAAAAGGATGCGTCACATTATATTAAATTAACTTATTATGAGACAGAAGGAGTATAGTTGTGACGGAGCTCGTGGCTCCTCACCGGGAGACCGCGCAGGCCCCCCTTTGCCAGTTCGGCCGGGGGCTTAGGGTGAAATCTCAAGCTCTCTCTCTCTCTGTATGTGGAAAGATCGTCTGCCAGCAAGAAACACGAGACACCGGCGATCTATACAGGTTCGGGCCGCTGAGAAGCGTAATACCCTACTCCTGTGTTTTGGTGGATCTGTGTATGAATGAGCTACAAGTGTGAGCTGACTTCTCCCCCGTTCTAAGCTCTCGATCTGGAAAAGAATCAACCAACCCCTTCTCTCTGGGCAAGGTCCTCCTTTTATACTTCAAGGGGATACCACATGCACCCTTCTCTTTCCAAACTGGACTGTTCTTTTTCTCTTGAATGGGCGGAGATCAGCACGGTTGCTGTCCGAATGACGCTCCGATGGGACAGCCCACACCTACCTCCACTTCCGCCGGGGGTGAGCGCGTCGTGGGAACATGGCTGTGCGCTGACGATATGATCAGTGTCAGACTGGTCACAAATCGGTCATTCTTGTCCACCGCGTGTAATCTTGGCAACGTGCATGTTTGCCCTTCTTCACACAACATCTTGCCTGTAATGGTTAGGATGAAGCCTGGCATATATCGACCGGGGCTAACGTGTCATCTCTAAGAGATAACACGCTTAACTCCGGCTTGAGACGAGTGCATAGAGGCTTTCGTCTTGACGGGATGGGGCAAGGCGTGCGTCAGACCGCCAGTCGCCACCTAACCCGTGATCTGACCGGTCTGTGACTGATCACAGACCGGATAAAGGAACGCGCTGTACTGCGCTGCATGCAGCGTGACGCGCTTGACCAGACTGCAATAAATGCTGTTAGGTGAGCACAGCTGTGCTCACTTATCCCATATATGTGGCGCAGATTTCCTTAAGGGGTCGGGGTGCCTCGGCCCTCGGGGCCGGGGCAAGCGCAACCCGACCCCCCCCCTCGGGGGAAATCAGGAGGAGGGCGGACACCTCATCCTCGGGCCCGACGTCCCCGAAGGTGCCAGGCCACGTGGGCGATTGCGTCTGCCTCAAGCCTCTGGTCATGATACTCCCGGTCCCATATCACCGACAGTAGCCCCCGGCGTTGTGCCAGAGCAATTTCCCTTCCCAAGGGAAGCGGTCTGGCGTAACGCCACCCCTAAAGCCTGGTGACAGGTGGGACCGGTCTCCATAGTTGGGCAAAATCCCCAACGGTCCCAATCCATGCACATTGGTATTGGTAACTTTGGTTGTCCATAATGGGCGGTCTATTCAAGACTGCCACATCACTTGAGCAGCGCGCGCTGGATTCTTCCATCGGGGAGGCCGAGGCCCTCCGCTTGGCGGGCGAGATGGGGCCCGACATGCTTTGGGACTCGGTCTCCCGCATGGATCGCGCCGGTCGGCAAGCGGGCCTTTGGAAAGGCCAGACGAGGACGCGCCCTAGCAATCTGGAAGGCCTCGCTCCGCACCTCAACAGGATGGCCTGGGTTCTCGAACGACTCCCCGAGGAGCTTGAGAAGACCATTAAGTCATCCTCGAGGGACCTCGCCCGGGGGGCGGTCGAACTCGTGCTGGCGAGTTACCAGGCCCGGGACCCCAACTTCTCTCCATGGATGGCGCTGGAGGAGTTCCCTCCCGGGACCGAGGACGACGCGCGCGCGCGGGTCGGGGATGCTGCCGACCACATCGTCAACAGCTTCGAGGGCTCGGCCCCTCGGCTCGCGTTCGCCCCCAGCTCCGACGAGGAGGGCGACGCCAGCGGCGAGGACGACGGTGGCGACGAGGCCAGCGACCCGGGTGCATTTGAATGAGCCCCCAGGCCCCCGCCAATCTTTACTTTTTTTTTTTTTTCTTTCTTCTAAGGCCTTCAT